CTGATACGTCCAAAGTCCAATACATGACTGTTCGGGGTCCACGCTGGCTAAACTACGCTTGTGGTTGGGCTTTTTGCTGAGGGTTCTGATTCTGATGGGTGAGGATTTCTCCACTGGTGGAAATAAATGTGGTGGTGGTGGTGGTGGTGGTGATGACGCTGCCGTTGAAACTGCAGATGCTGCTCCTCATGATGACAATGACGATGATGAGGATGATAGTGATGATGATGATGATGATGATGATGATGATGATGATGATGATGATGACGATGCTGATGCTGATGCTGATGATGATGCTGACGATGATGATGAGGATGATGATGCTGCTGCTGCTGCTGATGATGATGATGATGATGATCATGATCATGATCATGCTGATGCTGCTGATGATGACAATGCTGCTGCTGATGCTGATGATGACGACGACGAGGAGGGCGACGACGACGACGCCGCGACGACGACGATGAGGATGATGATGATGATGGTGGTGGTGGTTGTGGTCACGATACCGATAACGATAACGATACCGATGATGATGGAGGCGATGATGGTGATGATGATGCTGATGATGCTGATGCTGCTCACGATGATGATAGTGATGATAAGGATGCTGATGACGATGATGATGGTGATGATGATGGTGATGATGATGATGATGATGATGATGGTGGTGGTGATGCTGGATATGATAAGGTTGTTGCTAATGATGATGGTTGCGATGGTGATAGCTGTTGACGGAGTATTGAGGATTGATGATAATGCTGATGATGATGATGATGATGATGATGATGATGATGATGATGGTGATGATGATGATGATGATGATGATGATGATGATGATGATGATGCTGCTGCTGATGATGATGATAAGGATAAGGATGATGATGAGGATTGGTGACTGATGATGATGCTGATGATGATTGCGGTGGTGGTGATTGACAATAATGATGCTGGTGGTGATGATGATGCTGGTGAAGATGATGAGGATGATGATGAGGATGATGAGGATCAAGATGATGATGATGATGCTGACGATGATGCTAATGCTAATAATGATGATGATGATGATGATGATGATGATGATGATGATGATGATGATGATGATGATGATGATGATGATGATGGTAATGGTGATGGTGATGGTGATGGTGACGGTGATGATGGTGATGATGATGATGCTGCCGCTGATGCCTATATGATGCTGATGGTGGTGGTTGTGGTGATGATGCTGATGATGATGATGATCATGTTGATGATGATGATGATGATGATGATGATGATGATGATGCTGATGATGATGATGATGATGATGATGATGATGATGATGATGATGATGATGATGACGATGAGGATGAGGATGATCAGGAGGAAGAGGAGGAGGTGAGTGGAGGATGAGGCGGATCGGGAGAGAGGGAGGATCTGGAGTGTGTCGGACACTGTGGCAGTACGGGGACTTTTTGTCCGAGCTTCGGTCTGCAGCGTCCCCATCAAGGGCGCCTCGTGCCAAGACGACCTTTCGGTTCGGTGTGTTCGGCCCTCCTCCCCCTCATATTCCACCGCACGGCTGGCCTCGTAGTCAGAGCTCTCATTCAAGTTCAACTTGTCCTTCTGCCTCGCATTTGTTTTTGGGCTATGATCCAAATGCTTATCCTGGCCTCTAATCGGGCCCACCTCGACCGTCGGGTCCACATGGGCTCTGCGCCCACCAGGAGGAAGAGGGCTTGACCCTTCTCTCGTGGGCTGCCCATCCTGTCCTCTTTCACCGCCCTCGGCCTCGTCGTCCTCCTACTTCCCCCTCCCCCCCATCCGCCGCACAGTGCCCGTCGGCGGCATGCCGGGCATGGCGGGCATGCCCGGCCCGTGCGGCGGCTTCGGCGGCGCCTTCGGCGGCATGCCGGGCCCTTGCTTGGCCTTTGGCGCGTTCGGCGAGCGGGGGGGGCGGGTGGGATCGGGTGGCCCCGAGGTGCGAGCATCTGATGCTGCTGCTGATGATGACGATGATGATGCTGATGATGACGACGACGACGACGATGATGATGATGATGATGATGATGGTGGTGGTGGTGGTGATGATGATGATGATGATGATGATGACGATGACGATGATGACGATGCTGACGATTATGATGGTGATGATGATGATGATGGTGATGACGATGATGATGATGATGATGATGATGATGATGATGATGCTGATGCTGATGATGCTGATGCTGCTGATGATGCTGCTGCTGATGGTGATGATGACGATGATGTTGCTAAGGATGATGGTGATTATGTTGATGATGCTGATGCTGCTGATGATGCTGCTGATGATGCTGCTGCTGCTGATGATGGTGATGATGATGATGATGATAATGATGATCGTGATGATGACGATGATTAGGATGATGATGATGATGATGATGATGATGATGATGATGATGATGATGATGATGATGATGATGATGATGATGATGATGATGATGATGATGAGGAGGAGGAGGAGGAGGAGAGGAGGAGGAGGAGGAGGAGGTGATGGAGGAGGAGGAGATGAGGAGGAGAAGATGGAGGAGTTGGGACCTCTGGGGTCCCTGTCGCGGCCGCGGCCAGGCGCTGCCTGACCGGGCGGCCGGGACGGCCGCCCGTAGCGGTCCGTGGATGTCTCTTGGTTGGCTTCTGGGCAGGGGCCATCTCTTGGTTTTCCTCCTCCACCTTCTCCTCCTCCTCGTCTTCCTCCTCTTCCTCCTCCTCCTCCTCCTCCTCCTCTTCCTCCACCTCCTCCACCTCCTCCTTCCACCTCCTCCTCCTCCTCCTCCTCCTCCTCTACCTCCACCTCCACCTCCTCCTCTTCCTCTTGGCCGCCGCCTTTTACGTCGCAGTGCGGCAGAGGCAGTCCGCACGCGCGCTCGGGCAAGCTGTGTAATGGCATCGCTAAAAGTTGCCAGCGGCACGAGCGAGAAAAAGGGGGGCGCCCTCCCTTGGTCACCTACGGGGCCCACGGCTTCGCGCCTCGCGGCCTGAGGCGGAGAGGCGCCCTTCTCACGCGAAGATGGCCGGGCGCGCGCGCGTCGCACACTGTGGGGCGCGCAGCGCGAAGTTAGGTCGTCTTCGTAGGAGCACTCTCGCGGCATTCTAAGCCGCACTGGAGCAGCTGAGTCGCCCGTGGGGCGCCGAGGAGGATCCCGAGGGTCGGCGGGCCCAGGGCCTCTGAGACTGTAAGTGCCCCGCCCTGGAGGGCCGGATGCGAGCCGCTGGACGGGAAGGAGGAGACGGCAGAGACTGAGGGGGGAGAATGAGGGGGAGAGGAGGGGATGAGGAGCTGGGGAGGACGGGGGGGATCGAGAGGAGGGGAGGGGGAGCAGGGGCCATGGGATGAGGAGGAGGAGGAGGAGGAGGAGGAGGATGAGGAGGAGGCCGGGGAGGGGGAGGAGGAGGAGGGGGAGGGGGAGGAGGAGGATGGATGAGGAGGTAGGAGGAGGCAGGAGCGAGAAGTAAGAGGAGGAGGAGAAGAGGAGGAGGAGGAGGAGGAGAGGAGGAGGAGGAGGAGGAGGAGGAAGGAAGACGAGGAAGAGGAAGAGCATCGACGCCATCATCGCCAGCGCCAGCGCCAGTAGGAGGAGGAGGAGGAGGAGGAGGAGGAGGAGGAGGAGGAGGAGGAGGAGGAGGAGGAGGAGAAGGAGGCAGGAAGGGAGGGAGCGAGGGAGAGGTGAGCTGGAGGAGGGGCCTTGCTGAGGTCTTCGCCGTGGGGCCGCCTTACAGCAAAAATTCTGCGCGAATCCTAACCGAACCCGCTCCTCCAATCTCGACGCGCCTCGGACACGTGCCCCCCAGGACTTCCCCCCCGTCCATCTCGACGTCCCTGAGTTCTCCGAAGTCGATGCTGGGCACTAAACGACTGGCGGTGAATGCAGGTCACATTCAATGTCCAACCAGGGGGAAGCGATTGACCAGGGTATTGGAGTGGCCTGACGGCCAGTGCCGCCGACCCTGAACGACGATGACGACGACGACGACGACGACGACGACGACGACGACGACGACGACGACGACGACGACGACGACGACGACGACGACGACGACGACGACGACTAAGACGACGACCACGACTACGACCACGACTACGACGACGACGACGATCACGACGACGACGACGACGACGACGACGACGACGACGACGACGACGACGACGACGACGACGACGACGACGAGCGCTCTCGGGGGCTTCTTTGGGGTAGGTTTGGGGCCTCTTTGGGAGGCTCTTGGGAGGCTCTTGGGGGCCTTTTCGGAGCCTTGTGGGAGCCTCTTGGGGCTTCCTGGGGGTCTCTTGGGGGCCTCTTGGGGCCTCTTGGGGGGTTTCTTGGGGGCCTCTGGGGGCCTCCTAGGAGCCTCTCAGGCCGAGGGCTCGAAATGTCCGTTCGGATCCCCCGTCTGGGCTCCCTCTTCGAGCAGGAGGAGGAGGAGGAGGTGGAGGGGGAGGAGGAGGAGGAGGAGGAGGAGGAGGAGGAGAAGGAAACGGAGGAGGAGGATGAGGAGGAGGAGGAGGAGGAGGAAGGGGAGGAGAAAGAGGAGGAGGAAGAGGAGGAGGAGGAGGAGGAGGAGGAGGAGGAGGAAGGGGAGGAGAAAGAGGAGGAGGGTAGGAGGAGGAATAATAATACTAAGAAGACAAGTGGTAATTTTAAATAATACAATTATCGAGCATACGATTAATACGAGTTATACTGATCCTAATCCTAGTAAGAATGATAGTGTCACGGGTGCGGCTACGAATGCGACTGCGAATGCGGATACCAATTGTACTCGTATCATTAGTAAACATAATAACAATGTTATGACCACTTGTGCTGATAACTGCTAAGACTAAGTCTGGCACACATGCTAAGGATGAGAAGCACCTGACCCGACGTCGAATATTCATGAAAAGAAGAAACGTGCATTCACCGCAAGAATTCTCAAGCAGGCGAAGGAGAAGACACATTCCTATGCTAAGCGTACGGCTACGACTAAAACTAATAGTAATTCTACGCATGCGAATGCTACTACTACTACTACTACGACGACGACTACTACTAACTGCTACTAAATGCTACTACTACTACTACTGCTGCTGCTGCTACTACTACTACTACTGCTACTGCTACTACTACTACTACTACTACTACTACTACGACTACTAATACTGATACTACTACTACTACTACTACTACTACTACTACTACTACTACTACTACTACTACTACTATACGCTGCGTACTACTACTCTACTTACTACTACTATACTAACACCACCACCACACCACCACCATTACTACTACTACTACTACTACTACTACTACTACTACTACTACTACTACTACTACTGCTACTACTACTGCTACTACTACTACCAAAACGTACTACTAATCGTAATACTACTAATACTGCTAGTAACAGTACCCTTAGTACTACTAATAATAGTGTACGCATGTTCCGACCATGTATGACACGACTAGTGTCATACATTGTATGAGCACGACTACGACTACTACTACTACTACTACTACTACCACCACCACCATTACTACTACTACTACTACTACTACTACTACTACTACTACTACTACTACTACTACTACTACTACTACTTTTACTACTACTACTACTACTATATACTACCTACTACTACACTATACATACTACTACTACTAACTACTTTACTACTACTACTAATAATACACTACTACTACTCTAACTACTACTTACTACTATACTACTATACTTACTTACTTACCTACTCCTACACTACTACTACTACTGCTACTACTGCTACTACTACTACTACTACTGCTACTACTGCTACTACTGCTACTACTGCTACTACTGCTACTACTACTACTACTGCTGCTACGACTGCTACTGCTACTGCTACTGCTACTACTGCTACAACCGCTACTAGTACTAATACTAATAGTGTTACCCTTAATCATCATACTACTTACCATACCAGCACTATCAATACTAATACTACTATGAATCAGACGAACCATTTGAGTAATGATGATAAGAGTAATACGATGCATAGTAACATGATGAGGTGGATGAGGAGGAAAGGGAGGAGGAGGAAAGGAGGAGACGGAGGCGGAGGAAGAGGAGGAGGAGGAAGATGAGGAATAGTATTAATAGTAATGACATTACGAAGAATGAGTTATGTATCGTAATTGTAGAATACGAATATGAAGAGAAACTGAAGAGGAGGATGATGAGGAGAGATCAGGGAAGGAGGGGGCAGGGAGGGAGTGGGGGCGCAGGAGCAAGGCCAGAACGCACGGGGAGTGGAGGCGCGGCGCCCTGCGGCGGGATGCCCGCAATGACCTTGCCGCCGCTCTGCGGGTGCGGGCATGCAGGGGGGTGGCGAGGATGGGGCGAGTTCGGGCGGATGGGGCGGGGTGGGGTTGGGCGGAGGGGATGGATTCGGGCGGAAGGGCGGGCTCGGGCGGAGGGGTGGGAGGGGTGTGGGCTCGGGGGGAAGGGGGGGGGGGGCGGGGAGGAGGGGCGGACGGGGAGGGGGCGGGCGGAGGGGTGAGGGGGTGGCGGGCAGGGGCCCGTTGGCTTCGGCGCTTCTCCGAGAGCGCCGATGGGACGTGCTCCCTCTGGGGGCAAGGGGTGCAGCTTCTCCAGCTGTGTCGGGTCAGACGGCGGGAAGAGAAGGGGGGAGAGGACGGGGGGAGCAGGGGGATGAAGAGGAAGAGGAAGAGGGGGACGGCGATGCTGGTGGTGATGGTAATGGTTGTGATGGTGGTGGTGGTGATGGTGTTGGTGATGGTGATGGCAGTGGTGGTGATGGTTTTGGTCATGGTGGTGGTGAGTGGGTGAGTGAGTGAGTGAGTGGGTGAGAGAGAGGGGGAGGGAGGGAGGGAGGGAGGGAGGGAGGGAGGGAGGGAGGGAGGAGGAGGAGAAGGAGGAGGAGGCGGAGGAAGGAAGAAAACAGCGGGGACTTGCGGATACGCGTTGCCGACGCTTCCGTGCTGAAGTCATGACTTCGTGGGCAGGCGCGCTCTGCAGCCATGGAAGGGGCACCGTGCTAAATTGGACGTGCCTGGACTATGGAGCGCTCTGGGGCTAGGCGCAGACACCATTGAGCAGGTGGTCGCTGGGTGCTGCCATGTGCGCAATTGTTGCTGTTCTCCTGCGCTCGGGGGACACACCGCAGCCAAGGAGGCACAAGGCTGACAGACGGCAACCTGGGCAGACAGAAACGCGCTCGAGCGGGCCATGCAGAACCTGGGGGCCAACCCGCCCACGCGCAGAGGGGGCTTAGGAGAAGGGGGGAAGGCTCCTTAGAAGCATTTCTGCTTCCTAGACGGCGCGGCCCTTGTCTACAGATGTGAGGCCGGCGCCTTCTAAGAAGGAGCCTCCTTGTAAGAAGCCTCCCACCCCTCCCCCTTACCCCTTGTGCGCGCCGCCAGCCAGGGCTGGACCTAAACGTTGTTTTGCTGAGTCTCGGCGGCGTTCTGCTTTTCGTATTTGCAGGGAGGCACAGGAAAACGGGCAGAGCACCACGAACAACAAAACGAGCACGAAACGGAAAGCGACGTTTAGGTCCAGCCCTACCGCCAGCAGGCCGCACCGCAACGGTGACCCGAGGCGCGTCGAGCGCAGCAGCAGTCCGCCTGCCACGGCGCCCCGGCCGCTGCACGGCGCGGCGAGGGGTGTGCAGCCCAGACGGCTGGGCCCCCCCCCTGCAGAGTCGCCCGCTGCCCAGCCCGTGGGTCCCGTCACCGCATAACTAAGCCCTTGAGGCGGAGGCCGAGGAGGAGGAGGAGGAGGAGGAGGAGGAGGAGGAGGAGGAGGAGGAGGTGGGGGAGGTGGGGGATGCCAATCATGTAAGTTGGTGCCACCGCCGTGTCTCCTGCTCGGACAGTTGCCAATCATGTAACGAGGGGAGGTACGACGGCTACGCGGGCATGCCAGGCGACACCCTCGCTTGCGGGGGGGCGGGGTGTGTGGGGGGCTCTCGCCAGGTGGGTCGCCGAGAGGCATGGGGGAGGGGTGGGTGGGTGGGGAAGGGGGACGGGGAGGAGAGAAGGAGGAGGAAGGTGGACGAAGAGGAGGGAGAGCAGGAGGAGGAGCAGGAACATGAGGGCGCGGAAAGAGGTGCGCGGAAAGAGGTGCGCGAAAGGAGGATGAGGAGGGGGATGAGGATGAGGATGATGAGGATGAGGATGAGGCTGAGGATCAGGATGAGGATGAGGATGAGGATGAGACGGAGGATGAGGATGAGGATGAGGAGGAGGATGTGTGTGAGGATGAGGATGAGGATGCTGATGATACTGATGCTGCTGATGCTGATGCTGATGCTGATGATGAGGCTGCTGATGCTGATGCTGATGCTGATGCTGATGCTGCTGATGATGATGATGATGATGGTGATGATGATGCTGATGATGATGATGCTGATGCTGATGATGCTGATGATGCTGATGCTGATGATGAGGATGCTGATGATGATGATGCTGATGATGAGGAGCAAACAGACTAGACGCAGTGGTGTGAGCAAACCAGGCGGCAGGCCCGTGCGGATCAGGAACTAGAAAGAGTAAAGGCAAAAGCAGGGTGCCCCAGGGCGAGAGCACCGGTGCCTGCCGCCACTGTGGAGGAGAGAGAACAAGCAGCACAAACAATTACCATGTACTGCTCAGTATCGGCAGAGGAAGGCGCTGGTCTACTCCCGCCGGCATGCCGCGCTTGTCTACAGTCAACCAGGATAGTAAGGATGGGGCAGCTTTTCAAGGCTACCCTTGGATCCTTGCCCCTGCGGTATTCGGCATCCTTCGGCATTCTGCTGCGCTCCGCATGGAAAACGTCAACAGGGCCTTCCAAGGCCCTTGCATCCTTACCGCGCATCCTTACTATCCTGGGCGAGTCTGCTCCCGCAGGCATGCCAGGCATGTGCGGCGGGCTGGCGATGTTCCCCGGCATGGGCGGCGCCGCCCTGGCCGTGGGCTGGCCGGGCCCCCCGGGCGCGGCGGCCGCGCGCGGCGGAGCTGGCGCGGCGCGGTCGCGCTCCGGCAGGGGTCGTCAGGGCAGGCCCGGCAGGAAGCCGGCGATTGAAGCTTCTGTCTTGATCGGTATCGTTTATCCGATCCCCATCCCCATCTCCATCCCCTTCGAGACCCCCACCAAATTACCACCCCAGTTGGGGATACATCCCTCGAAACCCGAAGAGAACGACCTATATCCCCATCTAGGCGGTGAGCTGGCCAGCGGGGCCCAGGCCACGCCGCTGGGGATGGGGATCGGTTAAACGACACTCATTTGAGACTTCCAGCGTGTAGGCCTCCCTTCGTCGAAGAAGAAGAAGAAGAACGCCTCCCTTCGTCGAAGAATAACAAGAATAATAATAATACTAGTAAGAAGACGAATACTAATAATGATACTATGAATAATAATACTATTAATAATACTAATAATAATACTAATACTAATACTACTAATAATAGTAATAATAATTATAAAATAATAATAATAGTAAGAGAAAGAAACATATTAGTAATAAGAATAATAATCGTAAGAAGAAGACAAATCATACTAATAAGAAGAAGTTGGCGCTCCGCGCGGATTCCAGCGGCGCCTCCGGCGCCGCGCTGGCGCGCTCCGCGCGGAGCGCCAAGAGTTTGTGTTTATGCTATGTTCTCTTCTTCTCTTGCAGGGGGGTGGATCTCAGGAGGGGAAAAAAACACACAGACACAATCAATCGTCGATTCCCCAGAAAATATGGGAAAACATGGGAAGTGGGGGGGAAGACAAAAACCCAGAAAATATGGGAACAAATGGGGCATGTTTTTATTTGTGTGTATTTATTTGTGTGTCCTGGGGCCCCTTCAGGACGACATGGCCGGGGGCCATGAGATCTCCCCAGATCTCACGCCCCCCTCTTTCCCTTTCGATGCATCCCCTGGCCTCCCCCGGGCCGCGCACGTGCCTCGGGCCGTGATTCGCAAACGCCCCTGTCCCCGAGCTTTGTCCCAAGACTTCCAACGTCCAGGCCTCTCAGATGGGGTCAGAGTTCGGGAAACAAAAAGTGGCATAAACATAAAAACTCGGAGGTCCGCGCGGATTTCTCGGATCCACGCTGGACCCCCCAGGCGGCGCCTCCGGCACCGCCCCTGGCGCGCTCCGCGCGCCAGGGAGGGGAGTCCAGCGCCGATCCAAGAAATCCGCGCGGACCTCCGAATTTTTATGTTTATTTCACCTTTTGTTTCCCTAAGAGTAGATGGTCTCGGTAGCGAGTCATGCAAGTCTTGCATGTCCTCGTAATTCCGTCTTTCGATGGCATCACCGTGCGCTGGTAATCGATGAGACATCGAGTTCGCGGCCATTCGCCTAGATTCAGCGTCGATAGGTTTCGATTAGCGTCGATTCGCCTTGGTTAGCGTCGATTCGCAACAGTCAGCAAGATGGCATGGAAGACTCCCATGAGCTGCCAAAGGAGATGGGGTCGGGGGATCGCGCCGCATCGCCGATGCATCGGCGATGCGGCTCCATGTAGAGCCCGATGCGTCTCCGATGCGTCGCCGACGTCGCCGTTGCATCGCCGATGCATTGGCGATGCGGCGCGATCCTCCGACACTACTCGGACCCCATCTAGGCCTCTGCAACGCCTTCGTTTTTTCCGGATGTCTTCGTCGGTTCTTGGGTTTTCTCTTGCTTCGGGGTGCTCTGCAGAGCGTTCCCGGGTGCCTGGATCGTCGTGATTGGCCGCCGGGAGCCCGCGTGTGCGATGTGTCGAACATCAGACACCATCCGACGTCCTGCACAAAGCAAGACAGCGGTTTTTTGGACCGTTTTCGGCTCTTCAGGGAGGAGGAGGAGGAGGAGGAGGAGGAGGAGGAGGAGGAGGAGGAGGAGGAGGAGCCCCCGTCGTGGCCGGGCCCTGGGGCCGCCAGAGCACGGCTCGGGACGACGAGCGGGCCCTGGGGCAGGGGCCAGGGCTTCCAGCGACCCCGCAGAGTCGGCCCGTATATAGTGTGGACGCACGAGTAAGTCGGGGGAAGGGACCACGTACGGAGTACGGCTTCGTCTTCGTGGAGAGGCGACGGCAGCTCTGCAGAGGATGCTCGGCCCACCCCAAGCCGCTTCCCCTGTCTGACATGCCGGGGAAGCAGGCGGACCCCAACAGCAAGAGGTCCAGACAGAAGGAGAAGGACAAGCAGCGGAGCTTCAACGAAGGGCTAGAGCACCCTGACTTTTTTTTGATCTGCGGGGCGAGAGCGAACCTCTTCCGCCAAAAGCTAGGCGGGCCACGCACCGCTTCAATTGGGGAGACGGGGCACAGGAAGGCGGGGCCTCAGGCGGCCGGAGCGGGCGAAGCCTGGGGTGCAGGCGGTGCCGAAGTGGATGTGCAGGAGCAGGTGCGCCGCGGACTGGTACAAAGCCCCCACCCTGACACGTCGATCAGTGAATTGGCCGTTTTCGGTTCTCCAGAGGGCGCCGCGGCCGTCATTTTCCAGGCTTGCGCCCGCCTGGTTTAGGCCCGAGGTCGTTTTAGTAAACCACGGTTTACGAGAGGGGGTTCTGTCCATCCCCGAGTATCGATGCGAGGCCCTTGGAAGACCATGTCAGACTTTTGCGAACGGGGCGCGAGCAGCGAAAGCGGCCGAGGATGGGCCGAAGGGGAAGGACGCCGGGACACCCTTGGAAAGTTGCTCATCCCTACTATGCGGGGTGATTGCAATGAACAGCAGATCAGGACACCGGCTGTCCAGTCCAGCCCCCGTGATGCAATCCAGTTTTGGACGCCAGAGGGGGTAGGGCTTGGACCGGAGCTTGGCCCTCGGGGGCCAGGCTTCTGTCCACGCTCACGGGCCCAGGCATGCGACGTCCTGATGTTGTCAGGACGGCGTCCCTAGAAATCCCGACCCTTTCCCCGGGACTGGCTTTTCGTCCCGAGTCGCTTTTTGACGGTCCCAGGGCCCGGCGAGGGCCCCCAGGGGCCGAAAATGATGAAAAATTTGCCGCCCTGATCTTTAACGACGCGAGCATGTCTGAGGAGCTTGTGTTGCGCGAGCGCGTGCCCACGTCGGCCGCCCTCGCGGACGCCGGATCCCAGGGCGCGATCTCGCGGATGCTCGGTCGCACGGGCACGCTCCGCGCGGGGCACCTCCGAGGAAGCGCCGCGTGCCCACGGGGCTCGCGGCCCAGGGCCCCAGCCCGAGAGGCCTCGGGCACGGACGCGTGTTCCGCCGACGGCGTGCCCCCGCTCGCCCCTCGTGGAGCTGGGGCGCGCTCGGCAGCGAACCGTGGGAAGCCTGCGCGTCTTCTCGACTCTGCCTTCAAGAGGGCGCCAGCGTGCGCCAGCGCTTGGTGCTCGATGGGGGGGCGCCGGGTCAGCGTCGATCGGCGTCGATTCGCACGGATCGGCGTCGATTTGGTGTCGACCAGCTTCGGCTCGCGTCGTAGGGGGCCGCATGCGGCCCCCTACGATCAGCATAGCATGGATTCGCGAGAGACAGCAAGATGTCCGACGAAGGCATCTATACACCACCACCGTGCCAGGCCAGGGCCATCCTGGGCTCCAGGATGGTGTATAGACCCTCCTGGCCTCGGCCAGGATGGCGTATACACCATGCCGGGGCCGAGATGGCCATGCATGGCACGGTGGGTGGTGTAAGTTAGAGGCCTCCCAAACGAGGGCCTTCTCCTCCTCCTGCTCCTCCTCCTCCTCCTCCGCCTCCTCCTCCTCCGCCTCCTCCTCCTCCTCCTCCTCCTCCTCCTCTGGATGCCTTCTGCGTGAGATGGCACGGGAGGCTCCCGCGAGCTGCCACCAGAGGGGTGAGCGGTGCCCCGGGCAGAGCCCCGGTCGCCCCAGGAGGAAGCGGGCGCCGAGCAGCGTGGGCGGCGGCAGGCCGCGCAAGGACCCGAGGAGGAGGAGGAGGAGGAGGAGGAGGAGGAGGAGGAGGAGGAGGAGGAGGAGGAGGAGGAGGAGGAGGCGGAGGAGAGGAGGAGAGGCGGAGGCGGGGAGGAGGAGGAGGAGGAGGAGGAGGAGGAGGAGGAGGAGGAAGGAGGAGGAGGGGAGGCGGAGGAGGAGGAGGAAAAGGAGGAGGAGGAGGAGAAGGAGGAGGAGGAGGATGGAGGAGGGAGGAGGAGGAGGAGGAGGAGGAGAAGGCGGAGGCGGAGGATGGAGGATAGGCGGAGGAGGAGGAGGGAGGAGAGGAGGAGGAGGAGAGGAGGAGGAGGAGGAGGAGGAGGAGGAGGAAGGAAACGAAAGGAAAAAGGAGGAGGCGGAGGGAAGAGGAGGCGAGGAGGAGGAGGCGGAGGAGGAGGGAGAGGAGGAAAGGAAAAAGGAGGAGGCGGGGGAGAGGAGGAGAGGAGGCGGAGTAGGTTGAGGAGGAGGCGGAGGAGGAGGAGGAGGAGGAGGAGGAGGAGGAGGAGGAGGAGGAGGATGCGGAGGAGGCGGAGGCGGAGGCGGAGGAGGCGGAGGAGAGGGCATCAGATCCTAGATCCGTCGGCGAGCCCAGGGGTGCAGTGAGAGGGGGCGGGCCTTCTCAGAAGGCTCGGAGGGCCTCCGCCCTTCGAGGCGTGATCTGAGCCTTCCCCGAAGACCCAAACAACTTGTCTGCGGGCCCTAGCCTAAGAATAGTGGTCGTTTTTAAGGCTCGGAGGGTATCCGCCTTTCGAGGCGTGCTCTGAGCCTTTCCCGAATACCCAAACAACTTGTCTGCGGGCCCTAAGAATGGTGTTCGTTTTTTTATGCATTGTTTGGCCGATCGGCGCGGGCCCCCCAACCCCCCTCCCCCCCTATGGAGTAGATCTTGGCCGTTTTTTGGCGCCTGTCTCAGGCAGGTGGAGGCTCCCCTAGAGGCCGCAGTATTGCAAACAGTCGCATTAAGTAGAGGTCCAGAGCCAGACCCCCCCCTCCCCCCCCCTTCCGCCCAATGTCGAAACGCCGAAAAAGAAAAAGCTCACGTATACCTCACCACCACGTCGATTCCTTCTCCCTCCTCCACCCTCGTCAGCTTGTCAGAAAGCCCGAGGGCGTCTGAGAAGCCCCGCCGCCTTCTGACAGGGCCTGCTCCTTCTCGCTTTCCCCCGGGCGCGCCGCCTCATCAGATCAGTTGGAGTCTGGGTAGCTGAGGTGGCCCTGCACTAGATCCAGCCAGGGGAAGGGCGGGCAGGTTCGAGGTTCCGGGTTCGGGAATGCTTTTCGCCTGTTTGGCCTCTGGGGGCAATTGTCAGGCCTCTGGACCGTGAAAACGGATTCGGGGTGAGTCTGCACTAGAGGGACCCCAGGTGGGGTCTGGGGACAGATTTTGAGTGGATTTGGCTTCATTCCTCCTTCCTGACCGATTTTCTTGGGGTCCATCCAGCCTTGACCCCCCACCCTCCTCCAAACAAGCAGCATGCCCGTCATCGATCTTCGTCGCCGTCAGATTCAATCAGACGACGACGAGATGTCTCCCTGCCCAGAGAACAGAATTTGATTGCTTTCTCTGGGCGGGGGGACATTTCTGGAGGCCATCGTCGCCACGGGTGGACGCAGCTCGAACATCTGGCCAGAATGTGCCAGAGCGGGAGTCCGGAAGCTGATTCTGGGCAGATTAAGGATGAAGATCGAGCACACGGGTGCCAGACCTTTTTCGGAAGACTAGAGGTTGGCACCAACACCATATGAACGGCTGCTTCGACCGAGGGAAGATGATCCCAACCTCGGTGATGTGGTAATATTGCGGCTCCCTGGAGCCTCTTTTTAATCCCGTGCCAATGACGGCCGTCACCGGGGGGGGGAAAGGTGGCCAGTGACGTGGCGTTTCGCGCCGGCAGCGTCTGGGAATGCTTAGGAATGACCGAGGACGGGTAGCAGTAGCATGTAGGTGGCGACCTGCACTACAGCACCTGCGTACACCACAGTGCCTGCGCGGACCACAGCGCCTGTGTACACGACAGCGCCTATGTACACAGCAGCCGCGTGCAACACAGCGCCAGTGTGCACCACAGTGCCTGTGTGCACCACAGCGCTTATAGACACCACAGCGCCCGCGTACACCACAGCAGCCGTGTGCAACACAGCACCAGTATACATCACAGCGCCTGTGTGCACCACAGCGCCTGTGTATACCACGGCGCCTGCGTGCACCACAGCAACCGTGTGCAACATAACACCGTTGTTGCGTAGTTGTATATCGTTTTTTATAAGGAATCTATATGACCAAACGGAACGCCCGTGGACTTCACAGAAAAGAAGTTCTGATGTAGGACTTGGAAAGGGATCCTGATGGACAAAAAAGCTCCTCGTGAATCTACGAGTCCTCTCGAGGAGGAGGACGAGGAGGAAGAGGAGGAGGAGGAGGAGGAGGAGGAGGAGGAGGAGGAGGAGGAGGAGGAGGATAAGGTGCCGTGCTTTGGGGATCGGGACGCGCACAAAAACAGGGGTGGCATCCTCCTGAAGGAGTTCGCTTGTGGCGTGGGGCACTGGAGGCCGTGCAATGGGAGGCGCTGTGCCATGGTCGCTGTGGCATGGCACCGTGGCGCTTCTGCTGCCGGTCCTGTGTACGCAAGCACTGTGATGTACACCAGCGGTGTGTTGCAGGATGTTGTGGTGTACGCAGGCGTTGTGGTGTGCGCAAGCGCTGCGGTGCACGCAAGCACTGTGGTGTACATAGACGCTGTGTTGCAGACGGCTGCTGCGGTGTACGCGTTCGCTGTGGTGTACACAGGCGCTGTGGTGCCCGCAAGCACTGTGGTGTACACGGGCGCTGCGTTGCACGCACGCGGCTGTCGCGGTGTACGCAGGCGCTGTGGTGTGCACGCGCGCTGTGGTCACGCGGGCACTGAGGTGTGCACGGCGCTGTGGTGCAGATCGCCATCCCGAAGCATTCTTTGACGCCGCCGGCGCGGAACGTGGCGTCACTTGTGGGGGGTGGCGTTGCCAGTGGCGGCCGCTGTCGCGGAAAAGAACAAGCAGGTTCCGGGGTAGCCGACAGATCCTTTTCCTCCTCCTCCTCCTCCTACAACCAGCGCCCAGATCTAGGATCATCTCCTCTCTGGTGGAGGCCCCCCCTCGTGTTGTGCTGGTGTTGGTGCCCGTTCCAGGCCTCCGCCCCGTTTCCGCCCTCTTGGGCCCTGGGGGGGCCCTCGGCGCCGCGGAGTCGCCTCGGGATCCTGGTCAGGGCGCGCCTCGGGGAGAGGAGCGTTCCTCTCTTGCCTCCCCGCGCGCGCCGCCGAGCCTGGCCACCCTGAGGCCCGACGTCGGAGGCACAGTCCGTGATGCCACGGCTCGGGATCGACTGCGCCGGCATTCGCGCGCCCCCGCCTGCGGCCGCGCGTGAGCGCACTCGTTTCCAATGTAGCGGGCCGCGCTGGCGGCCTGCGTGAACCGCCGCGAAGGGTCGCTGTGTCCTCTCGCGTAGGACCTTTTCCTTGTCGTCGGTCATCCGTAGCCTTTCAGAACATCGCAGACAGCGCCCTCGACCCCATTCTTGTCTGGCATGTTTTTTGAGCCGCACAGGTCCCAACCCTTTCTTGGGGACCGTTTTCTCCTCCCCCGTCGTTTTCTGACGATCCTGGGGTCCTGCGAGGGCCCCAGGTGACCGGAACGGGTCAAGCGGCCGCCGCCGTGATTATTCAAGACCTGAAGAAGTGGGGGTACGGCAGGTTCGCGTCGTGTCGACGCGGCGGCGATTCCAGCGCGGGCGTTCCAGGTTGAACGCCCACCAGTGGCCGCCTCGACTCGGCCGACATCGAGCGATGTTTGCCATCAGAACGCTGCGACCGTGCAAGGGTGACCGATCCACGCGGTGCCAGAAACCCACTCAGAGGCCGACACGACACGAACCTGCTGCAATCAGCCTCCCGTCCCGAGCCTGGAGACCCCAGCTGCCTCTGGAGGCTTCCAGAGGCAGCGAATCTAAAAAACACACACACACACATCCAACAGGTCCTCTTCCCCTTTTCCCGTCGCCGCCGCCGCCGCCTGGCCACGGCCATCGAGCCCGAGGCTGGCGCCGCCTGGCCCGCCAGTCCCCGCTGTGGAATGCACGACGGGGAGGAGGACGACGACGACCACGACCACGACGACACGACCACGACGACCACGACGACCACGACGACCACGGCGGCCGCGACGACGACGGCCACCGGCTCCTCTCCCCCGATCACCCCGGGTTCCCTCGAACTTAAGACCCCGAGCTTCCCCCGAGCTCCTGATTCCCGAGACATCCGGCCGCTCCCATTTTTCGATGCGCGGGCCCTGGAGCTCTGGATCGCTTCCCTGGGACCGGCTGTTCGTCCCGGGTCGGTCTTTGACGGCCCCGAGGACCAGCGAGGGCCTCCGGAAGCCGAACACGGCCCCAAACCCGCCGCTCCACCTTTCTGGGGGAGCGTCGGATTTTTGGGGATGTCGCCACCTGTCCGACACTTGACGCAGAGACGGGCGCCGGCCGAGGGAGCCCTGGGGCCTTTGAGTCAAAGGCCCCAGGGCTCCCTCGAAGGTCCCAGGGCTCCCTCCCCCCCCCCCGGGGAAAAAAAAAAAAAGGCCTGGAGAAGGACGGAGGGGGGCGAAGGAGGAGGGGGAGGAGGAGAAGAAGGGAGGAGGAGGAGGGAGGAGGATGAGAGGAGGCAGGAGGGAGGAGGAGGAGTAGGAGGGGGAGGGGGAGGAGGAGGAGGAGGAGGAGGAGGAGGAGAGGAGGATGAGGAGGGGAGGAGGAGGAGCTAGGAGAGGAGGGAGGAGGAGAGGAGGGGGAGGGAGAGGAGGAGGAGGAGGAGGAGGAGGAGGGAGGAGGAGGAGGAGGAGGAGGAGGAGGAGGTAGGAGGAGGAGGAGGAGGAGGAGGAGGAGGAGGAGGAGGCGGAAGGCGGAGGCGGAGGAGGAGGCGGAGGCGTGAGGCGGAGGCGTAGGGAGGGAGGAGGAGGAGGAGGAGGAGGAGGAGGAGGAGATGAAGAGGAAGAGAGAGGAGGGAGGAAAGGTAGGGAGGAGGAGGAGAGTAGGCAGGAGGAGGAGGAGGAATAGGAGGAGGAGGCGGAGGAGGAAAGAGGAGGAAGGGAGGAGGAGGAGGAGGAGGAGAAGGAGGAAGGAAGGAGGAAGAGGAGGCGGATGCAGAGGCGGAGGCGGGGAGCGAAGCGGTAGCGGAGGCTGCGACGGACAGAAGAAGGAGGAGGAAGCTGGAGGAGGAGGAGGAGGAGGGAGGAGGAGAGGAGGCCGAAGAGGTGGAGGAGGAGGAGAGGGAGGAGGAGGAGCGGAGGCGGAGCGGAGGCGGAGGCGGAGGTTGCGGCGGAAGAAGAGGAGGAGGCGGAGGAGGAAGAGGAGAAGGAGGAGGAGGAGGAGGAGGAGGAAGGAGGAGGAGGAGTAGGCGGAGGCTGAGGGGGAGGCTGCGGCGGAAGAGGAGGAGGAGGAGGAGGAGGAGGAGGCGGAGGCGGAGGCTGCGTCGGAAGAAGAGGAGAAGGAGGAGGAGGAGGAGGAGGGGGAGGAGGAGGAGGACCAGTGTAAACCCAAGAGTCATGAACGATGTTGGAATGAACCCTCCCTTCAAGCTCCCTCTTCATAGGCCCCTACACGGGTACATTTCCACTGAGGGAACTGCCTCGTTGGAAAGCAACCGTTTGAAGACCCTGATGCATGTCAAAACATTGTTCTCTGGATTCCAACGCCACGGATCAACCTGACTGTTGCGTCTTGACGATCCTGAATATCGAGAGAACGCCATCCCTAGGACTTCAACACCGCGAGCCAACGTAACTGCTGCACCCTCATAATCCACAATTGTTTCACAACGCAACTTCTGGTACGCTGATCCTGGGAATCCGTGAAACTATTGCAACACAAAACGACTGTGCACGTCGCTAAGGCGAGAGCAACATTCTGAAAAGGAGCCGCCCTCAATCCGTGAAGTTCTTGCGAACTTGTAAAACGGATGTGCGCGGCGCTAAGGCGAGAGCCGCATTTTGAAAAGGAACCTCCCTCAATCCGTGAAGCTCTTGCACATTTTCAATAACGGATGTGCGCTGCGCCAAGGCGGGAACCACATTTTGAAAAGGAACCGCCCTCAATCCGTGAAGCGCATGCAATTCTTTAAAACGAATGTCCGCGACGCTAAGGCGAGAGCCAAATTTTGCAAACGACCCGCCCTCCATCTGTGAAACTGTTGTCAATGTTTAAGCTTCAGTGTCATACATGGTGAGGACGTCTCAGGCGAAACGCCCGGACCGCCCTAAAAACTGGCCTCGGGGTGCGACAGGGAGAAGTTATTTATCAGGAATAGGAATGGAGGAGGAAGAGGAGGAGGAGGAGGGAGGAGGAGACGGATGCGGAGGCGGAGGCGGAGGCTGCGGCGGAAGAGGAGGAGGAGGAGGAGGAGGAGGAGGAGGAGGAGGCGAAGGGAAGAGGAGGCGGAGGGAGGAGGAGGCTGCGGCGGAGGAGGAGGAGGAGGAGGAGGAGGAGGAGGAGGAGGAGGAGGAGGAGGAGGTCGGAAGGTCAGCCCCCTCGGCCGCGAGGGCGAGCCGCGCGCGGTGCGCCCGGGCCCGGGGGGTCGGCCCAGCCAGGGCGGCACGGGCCCGCGCGCCGCCCCCTCCCCGAAGGAGAGGTCGCCCTCGCGCTACGAGCGGCGCCTGTCGCCCTCCAGCAGGTCGTCGGTGCGGCCGGAGTGGGTCGGAGAAGGAAGCCTGGCATCGCGCGGACGCGTGCACTTTGTCTCGGCGAGGACCACCGAGGAGCATCCGGGATCCGTCCGGGGGAAAGAGGTACGCACGACACCGAGGCATGCACGGGGAAGGGGCGTCCGAGCGATGGCAAGGAGAAGGGACCCACAGCGCCACAGTCAGCCCGCATGGTAGGTATGAGCCATGTTCCAAGGTTCTACACTTGCATCCGCCCCCCTCGGCGCATTATTGGCCAATTTCGCTGGCCGCGCCCCGCTCGGCAAGTGTCGACATGGCCTTCCAAGGCCCTTGCATCCTCATCGTGCGTCTGTTTTAAACGGGTTGACTGTACCCTTCCCCCGCGTCCCCCTTGTCGGGCCTCCTGGGAGGCCGTCGTTCCACCGCTGGATTCGCCTCGAGATTATGGTCAGAACGCACCCCGGGAGAGGTCCGGGGAGTAGCGGTATTGGTACCTCTTGGTTCCTCACTGGGGGGCGGGGCGAGCGGTGTGGCGGGGGCCAGCAGCAGTTCCTGCCTGGAGTCGACGGGGGGTCTGAGATGGCCCAGCACTGGCTCCGGCCAGCAGGAAGGGGGGTGAGGCTCGAGGTTCTGGGTTCGAGAAGTGTTTTTGTTGTGGTCCCGCCTCCGGGGTCAGTTTTGAGGCCCCACCACCACCACAGAGCCGAGCAGCCAGAGGGAAACGTGGGCAGAAGAGTGCGCGATTGGCAACTCTTCGGGAAAGCAAGGAATGACGTCCCAGAGTGACTGCACGCGCGCTTAGACAGCTTAGACACGGCTGCGGCGCAGAAGCGGAACGCACCATGACTGTGAAGCGGCGCAGCGGTTCGCATCACGACCGAGGCAGAACATCGGGGCGCATCCCGACTGTGACGCAGAACAGCGGTGCGCATCACGACTGAAGCAGAGAAGCGGGGCGCATCCCGATTGTGACGCAGAAATGCGGTGCACATCACGACTGTGCAGCAGAAAAGCGGGGCGCATCACGACAGTGACGCAGGACAGCAGTGTAGACATAAGTCGCCCACTGTTGTCGCGGGCGCCCTTGTTTCTGGCGGCATGCCCAAGTTTTGGGAGTGCCGTACGCATCGCACAGGATGTCTTTAATCAGGGAAGGGTCTGGGGACCTGGCAGTTCGACTGTGCCCGATGGACCCTGGGAGGGGACCGATCTTAGCGGAGTTCGCCTCGTCCCACCCCCTCCTGACCGATTCTCTAGGGCCCCAACCATCACCGAACGCGTTCCACTACTCGCAAAGCGCCTGCTCGCAAACGTCCGAAAAAGAATACCCGTCTCGACGGACTGGATAGTGAATCCCCAGAGGCGGATCCAGGCCATTTGCGAGTAGTTACCGTAGACACGCTAACGGCGATGTAGGCAACGGCGATGCAGGTTTCGGCACTGTAAGTGGGAGTGGTTCGTGGCCAACCCAATTGCAGGAAATGCTGGTTCGTGTTCGCCTACTTTTTGTTCTGCGCGAGTTCGGCGTCCCAGATTCCCAACATCGCCGCTAGCTAACATCGCCGTTGGCGTGGCCTTAGAGGTACGCTGCGCGTAGTGGAGCGCGCTTGCAGAAGCCAGCTCAGACGCCCCAGCCGCCCCCAAGTTCCGGTGCCTATGGGGCAGGGCTCGCCTTCGGCGTCGCGGTGAGGGTCGCCAGCAGAGGCCTTGGGGGTGGACAGAACCCCCAACAGTGACACGTCGATTAGTGAATTGTCCGTTTTCGGTTCTCGAGAGGGCGCCGCGGCCGTTCTTTTCCAGGCTTGCGCCCGCCAGGTTTGGGCCTCGGGTCGTTTTCACTACACCACGTTTTACTAAAGGGAGGTCTGTCCATCCCCGAAGGCTGCAAGTTTCGGGGCGCAGGTCGTTGCCTGCCCAGTGGTGGCCGCGGCTGGTGTCTCGGGCTCGGAACTGTGCCGACAATGGTGCGTAAGCTGCCTGCGGAAGGCCGTGAGCACGGTCGAACCGAGGTGTAAGATCGAGGTGCTTGGGCCTCCTGGGAGGCCCTCGGCGCTACCGCTGGATTCGCCTTGAAATTATTGCCAGAACGTTCTGCAGGAGAGGTCCGGATAGGTACGACGACGCCTGCCGGAGAGGCTGCCAGTGACCATATCCGGAGCGAGAGAAGGACGCACACGTACGGTCGGACCAAGGTACCAGGTCGAGGCCGGCTCGAAGAGGGTGCTCCAACGTTCTTCGTGCTTGTTGGGTGTTCTTGTGCATCCTGGGGGAGGGCACCCTCGAGTGATCTCATGGTTCGCGCTGTTTTGGCGGGCGGAGGGTCTCGTGTTCTTGAAGGGCGTTCTTCTGTCCCGGGTCCGACCGCACGCGCCCTCGTTTCCGATGCGGTGTGCCGCGCTGGCGGCCCGCGCAAGCTGTGCCTTCTCGCTTAAGACCTCCTTTCTTCAGGAGGGGAAACAACACACAGACACAATGAATCGTCGATTGCCAGAAACATATGGGTAAATGTGGGAAGTGGGGGGGAAGCCGGAGACCCAGAAAATATGGGAAACTATGGGGAATCCTGGAATCCGTGTGCTCTTACTTGTGTGTCCTGGGGCCCCTTCATTTCTTTTCGTCGCTCATCTGCTGTTGGGCATCGCCCCCCCCAGTTCTTCTCTCGACCCACTCCGGGCCTGCCACAGGTCCTCCTCGTCCAGCAGCTGAGCGGCCGCGGGCGGGTGGGTGCCCGCGGCAGTCCAGGCCTCCGGAGAGGGGGCGAAGCAGACGGGGTCGGAGGGTCGCGCCGCATCGCCATCGGCGATACGGCTCGCTGTGGAGCCCAAGCTTCTTTACGCCGACGGCGCCGATGCGTCGGCGATGCGGCGGCGATCCTCCGACCCCATCGGCTCGGACTCCATGTGGGAGGCCTCCACAGAGGTGGTCCTGGCCCAGGGCTTGATGATCCTTGTGACGTGTGTTAGTCGTGCGTGTGTGTGTGTGTGTGTGTGTTAGTCGTGTGTGTGTGTGTGTGTGTGTGCGGTTGTGCGGTTGTGTGGTTGTGTGTGTGTGTGTATGTGGCTTGATCCCGTTCAGCTGCGCACAGCCTGTGGCGCTGCCTGCGTCGCACTGGAGGGCTTCGGTGGACAAGCACGCGTTGGCGCTCGCCTTCAAGGCTCCTGCACCCTCGCCCTGCGTCCTAGGTGGCTGTTCTTTTAATACTTGGGGAGGCAACGCATGTCACCCCCCCCCTCCCCCCCCCCCCCCAGAACGGTAACGCCGGGAAACGGGCCACAGGCGTGAACCTTTTGCAGTACTAAGTACTCTGCGGGTTGATTGTATCCGTGATCATCCCGAGGCCCTGATCGCGGCGGCAGCGCCCGCCTCGAGGAGGTCGAGTTGCCAGGACCTCCAGGATGAGGCCTCCGTGGAGGGCTCCCCGGGCCAGGGCCCACCCATGGGGCAGCCTCCTCCATTAGGCTTAACTCGGGCGTGCCCCTCTACAGGCGGAATAGTCAAAAACAGTTACAACATAGTATGGGGACTTTTTTTTGGGGGGGGGGGGTATTTTTGACAATTTTTGGGGGCATTTCTTTGAGGATCTTTTTATTTTTCGTCCAAAATCCCCCTGTAGGGGGACATGCCCGACCTAACATTAGGTCGGGCCGCGCGCGGGCGCGGGCGCGGGCCGCGGCTCGGAGGCGACGAGAGGGGCGAATAGCCCAGGGGGGAGCAATCAGGGGCGCCGATGATCTACAGTGGGGGCGCGCATCAAGAAACCATATGCTTTTCGTCAGGGTATCCTGGGCTTCTCCGCTCCTCGCGCTGCGCGGTGACCTCCCGCAGCCGTTGAAGAAGCTGCTGCGTTCAGGGTGCTCCAGGTTTCCCCTCAGGTGCACCTCGTGCACGGGTTCAGGGTTGGGTTTCTTGCGGCCGCGCCCGCACTGTATGCCTTCGGCGAGGCTCCCCCGCGAATACGTGCATCGGGGAAACGCAAGACGCGAGTACGCTGGAGCTCGGGTTTGCCGACGCCTTTTTGACGAGCGCGTCCCCTCGGATTGTGAACTTCCATTTTCCGTGGGATGTTGGCAGCGGGAGCTCGCGTCAGATTTCGGACTGGGTCTCGCGCCATTCTCATGATGGCCCCGTCAGGCCAACCGGAGTCCCCCGAACCCAGGTCTCACGTCTCCCCGAGTGTATTTCGGCCACGCGCAGACGGGGTAGGGGGAGGGGGGAAGGCTTCTCAGAAGCACCCCTGCTTCTCAGAAGGCGCGGGCCTGATGTATTGATGTAAGGTCGGCGCCTTCTAAGAAGCAGCCTCCTTCTAAGAAGCCTTCCCCCTCCCCCCACCCCCTTGTGCGCGCCGCCAACCCTTGCCATCCTTCCCCCCTTCGGGCGGGGCTAGGACGAGGATAGGTCTGCCCCAGAGCGTTCTGG